GCGAACCGAACAAATATAAAACTGAAAACATTCTGTCATTAGAACTCTCACAATTTATTACAATGCATCGTCTATCATTATTAAATAAATATGGGAAACATTATTTTTTTTACAACGCATATCAACGCATATGACGCTTGTGTGATATTACATAATGTAACTTACGTTTATATAACAATATAACTTATTTTTCAAACGATATTTTATTGATGACAAACAACGCCTAAACCAAAAAATGAAATCAGTTCACATAGGAGAAAGAGGTAGGTACTAAAATATTTTGTTATATCTGTTATATATAACACAAGTTTTATAATTCCAAGGCTGTGTAGTACTTGACTGTTTTTCTGGTTCCTTAAACGCAAAAATCTCTGTCACATTTTCGCTAGACGCCAACCACTCCTAGCTCCGTGGAACAGTTAATCAACCCAGTCAATTCAAATTGCATTTGGATAGTTATTAATATTGATGTGGGTCAGTAGTGCAGTTTTTCGGCTTGGATGCCGAGGGTAGCGAGTTCGGTTTCCACACGGGGCAAGTATTTGTGAGATCCACAGATAATTGCTCCGGATCTGGGTATTAAAAATAAAGAAGCTTGCTGAGTTTCTTACGTCGCTTCTTTTCAGATCAGGGGCTTTTTCGAACCGGTAATAGTGTTTTAAAAATCTATGAATTTTAAAAATTTTACAAGCACAAATTTTAAAAAGTTAACTAACAATACAACAACACGATTCGCATTTCGCGCCGACTCCACCTAGGTGGGGTAATGGTAGGAGGAAGAAAGATTCGAATGAACGCCGCAGATGCCTTAGTTATTAATTAGAGTGTAATCAATTTCGTACCGGACTCCAATTACCACTGTAATAATATAGTTTAAATAGTGGCGGCCCGTGTTGATTGTTGAAATGAAGGCGAGCAATTAAAAGTTCTTTGTGGCCGCGCGGGGGTTGTGGGGGTGGGGGGAGAGGGCGGGGGGCTAGGTACTTGACGTAGTACGTAATTGGAAAAGTTTCCCTACAGTTGCCCGGCAAGCAACGCCAAAGGTTACTTGTGACAATTCAGCGCTTTAGTACGTTTAGCTCGGCCATCAAGTTGTACTATTTACCCGCTGTGCAGTATATAAGCAGTTTTGTACTACCAATAAAGCATCAACTAGTATTTAAGCGATTGGTTTATAGTTAAATATTATTTAATAAATAATTTTTTTAAGGCATTTAATTTTAAATATTCTAAGGCGTTTAATTTCATTTTTAATTTTCCAGCTCGGAACAGTATTGAAACTTATTTTTTTTTTAATGTGAAAAGTTGCCAAGCGTGTAGACGGTTCACCTGATGTTAAGTGAATACCGCCGCCCATGGACATCAGCTACACCCGAGGATTCCAGATACGTTGACAACCTTTTGAAAATTGATCTCCAGCCACCTGACTCACCAGACGAAACGCGAAAGTATTATACTTCCACTTTACGCCGGTCTTCTGTGAGGTCGTGGTTCTTACCCGAACGAGCCTGCCTATTCTTGCAACAGCCGAGGCTGCTGCGTGGCCCTACCACCGTGAAAATTTAAAAGATTAATAGCCTAGATACTATAGTTAACTTATAAAGTTTGCTTCGTACGATCCATTGATCGACGAAAACTTTAAGATCTATTATATAATGACGTACTTTATTCAGTACGTTTTATATTTCATAATTATTGAGCCGCTAATAATACTATACTTTGGTCTGATTTTGCTTAATGCCTGAGGGAAATGATGATATTGATATTAAAACAATACATGGTTCTATTTACGGCTTTTAACAGATTTGCAAGCATTTATTAGAAAGTAACCCGTTTCCGTGAGTTTATTTTATATACTCTGTGTAAAATCAAAATAACAATTAAAATAATATAACATTAGATTTTTTTCACACTCAATTGGTATACGTTACGCGCGGCGCCATTACACGAGAAATATTTATATGAATTCAGATACAGCACCTAATAATAGGTAATATGAATACAGTTCTTTATTTAAAACGTTTCTGTATTATCTTTCATAACTTGAACGCTGCCTTACAGTTAAACATCTCGTACATACGTTGGGCATAGACTCACCGCCTCTTCGGGGTGTGTCCGTATACTTTAAAGGCTCAATTCAATATTCTCCCAAGACAATAGACAGACACCAATGGACTACGTCCATTGACAAAGCAGCCGGCATTGAATGGGTAGTATAATTAAAACTATAAGTAAGAACATCGGATAGTTTCGTATAGAACGTTCCTTTCCTTGTTAAGACCAACAGTAGGTAGTGCATTTCTCGAGAACGTTAAGTTCTAACCCACGACTTTAATAACTTGTTTGAGCCAAAGAGACATATTAAGTATAGATAAATGTCGCTATTTGACTTATGAAAACAAGGTTTTCTTGTACAAAGTTCTTGTAAAATGTACCAAGTTTGTAAAACCAATGAAGAATATCAAAATAATGTAACCTATAAGTTAGATTAGACGATTGACGGTTTGGTTTTGAGATTGAATATAGGCAATAATATGAATGGTCAATAGTAGAACACACTCGATAGTCAAAATATCCCTTTACGAAAATTGTCCATCAGGCCAAAAGACACTCGACGCGGGTTTCTGAAAGCACCGAGTTTGATAAATTTGTCTACTTAGTTAATTATTAATTATATCCTTCCATTCGCTCCAAATATTCCAAGACATAAACTGTAATATTGTTTTCTGCGGACTCAATTATATTTACAAAGGATCCTTATTTCTGATGAAGTTAAAGGGCAAACTTATAAGTAATATTGCATGGGAGATTATTGTATTGTAAAATTTTATGAAATCACTATCGTGTTCAAGTATGTCACAGTTTTAGTCTGCTAACATTGGTTTCACAAACTTCCTTACATGCATATACATATAATATGTATGACGATTTCTTTGGCGCTCTGTAGTTTTATAACTTTTAGTGTTAAAACATTAATACGTCATTAGACTGCCTCATGTTGGTGAATAATTGGAATAATTTAGAATAATTGGAATAATACTTTATGCTCAGGCATACTGTAAATAAGTTTAGCCACTTTTTAGCACCGATTTTGAAACCACCGTCACCGTCACACATTGGTATGAATGACCTTTTACATTACAAAAATGTATACACCACGTTTATAAATCAAAAGTGTAACCGTCAAGCGTAAAGTCAAACAGCACACAGCTAACTTAACACATATATACGGTCGAATAGGTGAAAATTTTAACGTGGAATTATGTGTTAAATATTCCCGTGGAGGGAAAGGGGCGTAAATAAACTTGCGCTGCTGATGTTTATACAAGTTAGTGTTTAATTAGACTGTTTACTCGGGCGATTGACGAAAACTGTTGTGCAGCCGACATTTCTTTATGTCATTCGCCGTATTAGAAGAAGCACTATTCAATAAACAATGACATTGAAAAAGGCAGTCGCGGTGAGAATCCTCTTTGTTTCTTATAAGCAAGGAAGGAGATATACGATGCTAAAGGTAAGCACAAAACATAGTAAATTCGACTAACGCTTCGCCTCTGCTATATATAGGGACCCAACCTTTCCAGCATTGAGAATGTTAACGGTTTCAAAGAAGAAAGTTCTCTCAACCAAAACAGTTACATGCCTTCTTATTTTTGGCTTATTGTTTGCAAACGTTGAACCCAATATAGACTGGCATGTCATAGCTACAGAGGTGTGGAGATAAAACATGCTTTAATTATTTATCAGCGTAATTTTTCTAAAGCCTTACTCTATTAACATAACATGTCGAAACATAACATCAAGGATGTAACAGGCAAGGCATACAGTTAGTCCCGCTCCAAATCATGGTTTATAATCTGTAGACGTTGTGACGGGTGCACAGATTATACAGTAGATGAAATGTCACTTTACTACTGCCTGTCCAAAGATGGCGGGAGTTTGCGGGACATGTGAACGTATGTTAGATTAACGACGTAAGCCTGGGCCTTGGTAATGTTACAGTATTAGCTTCAAGGTCCACAAAGAGGAGTAACATGCTAATGTTACTGCGTTGATAGAATATTCTAAAGCGTTCCGTCAGCCTCTTAGAAGGCTAGCTCGTAATCGCATAGCCTCAATGCGATCGTTTTAAATATGGATCCATATAGGTTTTCGTCAAATTTATGTTACACAATACTGACGCTATTTTTTACGAGTACCTTCAGGTAGCATCAATAGTTAATAATTTTGATTTAAAACAATTTTTGCAACTAGCAAATGTATAAAAGTGAAACATTAGTTCAAGTTAATACATTAAAAATAGATCAGTTACGACAAATCGCATTAACACTGAGTACTATAATCATGTTCTTAAGTTAGAAATAGAAGTGACAAAAAGTAAAGCGAAGAACCTTATATGGCAGAAAATAAATCTAATGAACTATCACAATTGTTAAATGACTGGCATCATAAACGTTATTAAATTCGTTTTCGCATACGAAGACTGGGCACGCGATCCAGTGCCAGCAAAATGTTAGTAAAACCATTTTCAAGCGTCAAAACGAGTGCGGCGAGCGTTTTCCAATTCATCAAACGAATAACGCACATACTACTACTATAATATTATAAATGCGATAGTAACCCTGTCTGTCTGTCTCGCTTTCACTCCAAAACTACAGAAGCGCTTTAAATGAAATTCGGTACACAGATAGTCTAGAGCCTGAGAAAGCACATAGGCTATTTTTTTATTGGAAAAAAGTGTTGTTAAGGGCTTCAACGCGAGCGAAGCCGCGCGCGAGTATCTAGTGATTACATAATGTACGTGTAACATAAACCATTTTAAACTATGTTCGTGAAAAGTACAAAGCGCGAACTCATCGCAAAACTCTCGCGTGGAATTCATTAGAATAAATTTCCCGCCCCCATCGAACTGAGGTCCGAAACTAGCAAATTAATTATAAAAGCCGTCAAGCCCAAGGCACAGTTCGAACCCATCTGAGACGCACAAAGGGGGTCCGCTAGGGACGGGGCCTTTCACCCTTATCGCAAAGTCGGATCGCCCCACCATCGATCTTAAGGGTGACTTGACCCCTCCGGGGGAGGGATGAAAGAAAATCGCGAGGGTGGCTTAGATCATTTTCGGGGAACGGGGGCCGCTGCGGACGAAGATTATGTGGGGTTAGTTTTCGTTTGGCGCGCTCCTTTAGGAATTTTTGATGTTCGAATGAATTGTTAATCGTCTAATTGTTTTACAACGGACAAACGTTCTTGTATTAGCGGCGGTGGTTGATTAGGCTATTTTTTGACAAGGAAGGTGCGATAACTGCGTTAATGCCACGTGACAGCTTTTGTTTCGGAGTAGTGCCACGGCCTCACAGCATACCGGCGTGAAGGGGAAGCATAGTTTATGTTTCGTCTAGTGAGGTGATTTTTAGGATTCCGTACCCAAAGCGTAAAACGGGACCTTATTACTAAGACTCCGCTGTCAGTTTGGCCGTCTGACACCGGGCTATATGCACGTAAATACTACTATTACTATATCTCATGAACATGGATACCTAGTTTGACAGTTGAATATTTCACAATTGATGTATTTCCGCTGCCGCTACTACACTTACGTTACTCTACAACAAATACTAAAAAACTGAATAAAAAAATATATAAGTGAGGCTCCCTTACAACAGACATGATGATTTTGCCGTTTTTATAGATAATGGTACGGAACCGTTCGTGCGCGAATGCGACTCGCACTTGGCCGGTTTTTTTAAAAGTGCATGCCCTCAGGTGTTGTCAGGATAGGATGTCAGCCTATAAGGAGGCGTGATCACAATACCACGTGACCAATAAAGTAGTAATAGTAGTAAATAAACCAATAAAAAAGGAAAGAAGTGCTTTTTTATTGGTCTCAAAATTCTAATGAACGTCTCGGAAGCTACAAATAGGTACTTTTTCTTTTGACGTATTTACTATTTATTTCATTAGCGCTATTTCTAGAATGAATAGTATTTTATTACAGCTTAACTTACTCGCAACGTAATCTTGACTTTGATTTTTTTTTGTAAGTGTATTAATTTCATTACATATTCGGATAATAAATAATTATTGCTGTATAAGCACTAAAAATATGTACTTCAACGGATTCCCGCATCATTTTGAACTCTTCACAGCATTCTTGTTAGCTAAAGCTATCTAGCCTTTGTGCCGCAGTTTAGTGTTGTGAGTAAATTTAAAAAATCTTTAGCCTCTCAAGTGAGTAAACAAAAAAAGAAAAGAAACAGCTTATATTTATTTTGTACTAATGCTCATAATCCAAGAGCGACGCGATAAATATTCAACAGTCTTTACGGTGCAAATTGGCGCCTTAAGCCGCGTAAAACTCGGCCGCATCCAAGCAGGGATACCAACTCAGGAATTTTCTTCCTAAAATTACGAATAAAAAATGTAGAATGGAAGTGTTTTGGGAGGAAAATATTTACGGGAATATTTTTGGGAGTTAAATTTTATTCATATACATATGTGCCTTGTATAAATATTTTACGTATTTTAATGGTATTTTTTTAATATTGTTTTGATTTTGTTGTTAAAAATATATTCATTTTTAAAGTAATATAAAAAAATAATTATTTTATATTTAATGTTCTTGGCTATTTTGCCAGATAATTATTTGGCCTTGATAATATATAAATTTAGGAAGTTTTTTGTTGGTTTCGAATTGCTTTAGGAGTATTATTTTTGAACAGTTGGTAACACTGCATCCAAGACCCGGCAATGGCGGGATTGCTAGGCGAGTCACGAGTTTCGTTCACACGAAAGTCGCCCCGGTCCACGCTTCGGATTTATCGCGACAACAGCGTCAACCGAACCTCTTTAGATGTGCATTGAAGGCTTTGTAAGCGGCATGTAACGTAGCTAACGTACTTTGCCGGCGTTGGATGTTGTTCGAATTTCTTTACGGCGCAACCGGACACGACGTATTGGCGGGGCGGGCGTCATCTAGTGTGGGTAGGACGTCTGTGCGGAGGGTGGTTGGAGGGTTTTATTATGGGTCCGTCGAGCGGTCTGCGGCTAGAACCAGGGGACACTTCTTACGGCAATCGACAGAGGGCTACCATGTTTCGGAAAGAGCCCAACGAACATTGTACTCGCCTAAGCGCTTGAATCTTTACTAATATTATAAAGGCGAAAGTTTGTATATCCATATATACAACAATCCATATGGATGTTTGTTATTCTTTCACGCAAATACTACTGAATTGATTTTAATGAAACTATACAATAATATACCTAGCTTATACATCAGAACAATTTCGAATATCGTTTTACAACGATAATTCTAACGAGAGATGTCGCCATTGTATTTAGAAATTTAAATTGTTTATAGTGCTAATCTTTGCACTTAAGATTGAACATTAAAATATATAGTTCCACAGGGTATAGTTTGGTATAATTTCTCTAGAAACATAACCGTTGATGACTACTCTTTGTGTTCGATCTGTGAGATATGAAGCAAACCGATCTAAAAAACATCCATGCATGCCAAATATTGTTTGTAGTTTGTTGATTTGTGGAATGTTGATTAATGGAATGGTTTACTATGTCAAATGCTTTACTAAAATCATTATAAATAGCATCAACTTCATTCCCTGTGCTCATTCTAGTAAGTGTTCTATCAACAAATGTAATAAGATTAGATGTAGTAGAGCGTTTTTTGAAAAATCCGTGTTGTTGATCGGTTATAATATGTTTTATAAGACAAGTCAAATAAGGACAAATTAATGATTCAAAAACTTTACCTAAAACTGGAAGAATGCTAATAGGTCTGTAGTTGCAGACATTACTCTTCACCTGATTTATGTAAGGGTATAATTATAGCATCTTTCCAGTGTTTTGGAAATATACCTTCAGATATCGACTTTTGGCAACTCTTACGGTGGTATGGCCAAGCAAAAGCCTGGGCTGTTGCACGAATGGGCAGGCTCGTCCGGTTAAGTACCACGACCTCACAGAAGACCGGCGAAAAGTGGAAGTATAATACTTTCGCGTTTCGTCTGGTGAGTGAGGTAGCCGGAGCCCTATTTTCAAAAGGCTGTCAAACATCTGCAAACCCTCGAGTGCCAGCTGATAAGTTAACTTCTACGATGATCGGTGTTAGTAGTGTAGTAAAAGGACACACTTCGTCGTCACTAGATCATAGTTTTCACAAGCTTGATAAGACCCTACACGATGAATCGTAAATGTGCGTAATTTTCAGAACAGTCTATTAAAGGACTATACCTAAGTAGCTATATCGATGAGCAAATTTTTGTAGAATTAACACTTGTCCACAACCTTTGATAATATTAAACGTATGAATATAAAAAAAAGGATAAACTTTTTCCGGCAGCCCTACACGATATCTAGCTCGTAGGCGACCGACGCCCCTTTCGGGCACAAGAAATTACATACTTTAATCTTATCGCCCGCCGGAGCAAAATAGAATATTAAACCGGGCTGTCGCCGACAAATGGCGGCCGCGGCAAACAACGCGGCCTCCTCATTTGATTTGACGGGACACGGCCTCTGCGGCTAGGCGTCCAATGTCTTCGGGAATGTCATTATTAAAAAAAAGCGTTCATTGGAAATTGTTTTCAATGGGAATGTTATAATTGTTTGCTGGTATACATTTATTAATTAAAACCTTAATATTCTACAAGTATTTACCATTTATATTTCTCACATGTTAATTATTCGAGTAAATGAACACAAAATGGTTTTATTGAAATTTCCAGCGCGTATTCTTTATGTTCCATTTTTCTGCCTATCTAACATGACCGCAATGATTAAAAAATATCTTTTTTCTTGTAATGTCATTGACTTTCCGCTACATCCTGTACAAGTACCTCATTCGTCTTTATTGATTTCATTATGTTACGATTGTATTTCATAACAGCATTTGCATTCCGTCGGTACGTACCACTTTTGATTAAAATATAATCTAGTAATACAATTTATAACAATACCAAACTTTATTACGAAACCAATTTATTGTCTACATTTCCAAGTGTCACATCTATACTGTACGTACAATAATTTTCGAAGAAAAATAAATCAAATGTATAACGAAAAATTAAATCAATGAATCCGTCTTTTTTCTTAATTTTTATGCATACATTTTCTTTCCACTTTTTTTTACTAATTAACCTATTTAGGAGCGACGACTGTTTGTTCTACGTATAATTCGGGCAAAGTAAATTTATATTCGATTAATATTTCGCATTATGTCGGCCATTGTTTAGTTCTCTATCCGGGTATACCTACACAGTATATGCCACCAATGCCGTGCGTAGATTGCGAGTGAAATCGGAAAAGGTACTCCGATAAAAGGGGAAAAATTAACAGCTGCCGCCCCGGCCACGTCACGAATACGACGTGGCGGGGTCCCCCCGGGCGTCTCCTTAGCCTTCCTCCCTCACTATAAACCCTCCACGGAGGACCACCCTTCAGCGTTCAGCGCTGACGAGATTCGTAAAATTCGGCCGGCGCGGCGCTTTGTCCCGATCCAAGCGAGCGCCAATTTGTTGAGATAACACTGTTTTGTTCGGGCCTTATTTACGGCGGGGGATTAATTTTAAGGTCAGCAATTAGACGCCGGCGGGTCCCCCAATCGGGGCTCGGGCGCCTACGGGTTCTGAATAGTTCGATAGCTCCTGCATCAATTGGAACGCCTTCGTGGTCCGTTTACAATTTGGCTCGTATCGATTAATACGTTCAGAAACATCTCCTGAGTTTTTACCGTATGAACTTGCAATCAACTACGTTTTAAAATCAAAAAAAAGTAAAAAAAATTTTTGTCTTTTGATTGAAACACAACTTTTATCATTCTGATCAAGTTTTATGTAGTATTTTAATCAATGTGATTAAGTTTTATGATACTCTAGACTTTTCCCTCTAAAATGGCTTGCTCATTATATAATATTAATTAGATCATATATTACGTCCTATTTACTGTAATAAATGGTAAATTTAAATGGCAACTGAATCACATATGTAGTATATGTATACGCTTTAAATTCTATATAAAACATTCCCACTATCTTCACAATTTATTACAATCTAGCCATTTTCTGTAACGACTGTTAGCTCTCTTACACTCTACTTAAAACTCTGACACAACATTGTTATGTTCGCCAAGAGCTTCGCCATTTCAACGTCCCACTGTTGATAAGTTGGTTTTAGGGTACGTCGAGTAGAATTTTGAAAACGGTATCAATAAGAGATAAATTCAATTAAGCGGGCACATTAATATTCTAGCGCCGTGGTCGTCAAGTGACGCCGGGGGGATAGTGCAGGTTGTCCCCCCCTCCCCCACAAAAAGAGAGGAGGGGGGGTGACGGTATCCACGTTTTTAGGCCTACAAAGCTTTTCAGCATGGCACACGCGCATGTTCTGTGGATACTGTGATGCTTATTTATAGCTGGGTTGCGTCGCTCGTTATTAGTTGATCAAACGATTGATTATTCTGTCACGCTGTCCCGCTATCGAATGGTTTTTAGATAACCAACCACGGTCTCCTCCGGCCCGGTCGGCTCCGATTATACCATTAAAATGAGGTGCAAATGATAGGATTCACGCGAACTTGTTCAACATCTTTCGATTATACACAAGTATACAATTAATGTTCAAAATGTTGTTCTACGACACCGGCAGCCTATCAGTGTAGCCAACGCCAAAGTAAAACGCTTTCGAATTCACCATGAACCTGATGGATGCACGCTTTGAATTCTATCAGAGAAGTAACGCTGAACTGTAGCGGTAACTAAAAAGCAATTAACAACCGACATGTACATATATGTAGATGAAAATAATAAAATTTCGATGAGTGATGAACTACAATGAGTGCCGACCCAGTACGGAACATGCCCTTCCCCAACAATATGATATAATGTAATAATAAAACAAACGAAGCACACATGTCAAGCAAATTGACGTGCAGCGTTCCATTGTTAATATTATTATAGCATAGCGGCTTGGAATTTGTCCTTACAGCCTATATTTATAAAACATTTTATTAATTCCGTCTTATGAGTCATATGCCTATGAAATGAACCGCGAATCAACGCGCAGCGTTTCTCGTTACATTTGACAAATGTTTTTAAAGGAGTTTGGATCAGAATCTTAAGTGGTCTCTTGACAGTTTTTTTTTAATTCATAGACAAGTGCGAGCTCACCGCTCGATGGCGGGAAACGCAGGCGACACCGCGCCGTTGACGCGCCGCTATTAATCATAGAAAATGACGCGGCGCATTGTGCGACTCCGTTCAACTCAAAATTGTGAAAACCTACCCCTACGCGGCGCAGGCGAACTAATAACGCGCTCCGCTCACACTTCGGAAAATGCCCGTTAGGGGGGTACTGTTCGCATGTGAACGCGTTGAAATAAAACTTTTTTTATTGTGAATTTTTTGTATACAGATGAACAAAATTCTTTCGTTGCTGCAGAATTCGAACCTGAGCCTTCTGGTTTCGCGCCCAAGACGCTTTGCCAACTAAGCTAAGTTTCTCTTTCAGTTTTTTTTTTTCACATTTTTCACACACTATAATTTGGTTCTGACTTCGTGAACAATTACTTTTTTAAAGTAAGTAAAATTTAAAAAGCCCAAGCAATGAAGTAGTCACTATTTGGCCGTTAATGATTATATTGTTAATATATTTCATTTAAAAAGTAAATGCCATGAGAAGGCCAAAAAAATATTTAGTGATACATTTAATTTCCGAAATATTTTAAGCGTTCCAAGAGCAAGATGGAGTTCCGCTTTACTTAACATATTTATCAAGTAACTTACTTCGGAATAAGATAAATGATGAATGTAAGCCCTTGCGTTTGTTTGAGTAGATTCCACAACCGCCGCGAGGTTGTACTTTATTGCCAACCTTCAAAAGGTGACCTATAGCTATAAAAATGCAAGAGCATAAATACGTACTGCTTTCCTTCTATCTGGTTAAGGTTCATTTCGCTAATGCAATCTGCAACAGCAGAAGATATTATTTGCTTTACAGACACAAAATTGAAATCTACTTAAGACAGCTACTTCTGTCGTTCGTAATTTTGTAATTATATTCAGTCGAATAGGCAGGTGCGTGAATTTTTTTTTGTTTTTTTTTTTTATTATTTTCTTTTGCTTTTTTTTTTCGCAACCATACCGCCTACAGCTTGACGATGACGCCGCGCGCTTGTGTGCGACCGCGCCGCGCGTGTGTGCGTAAGCCGTGACGTTCTGCAACCGACGTGATATATTGAGAACTGCGCCAAAAATCGCTACCACCTAGTTTACGTAACGTAACATTTCGCGTTACGTTCCGGTGCGTGAGTTCAACGCTTTTTTTCGCGACCGTAACGTTTCCTGCCAGATTTTGAAGTTTTTCAATATCAATGATCATTATATGATCCTTTATAAATTACATATATCAATTCAGGCGTGTGTAAATATAAAATATATAATGCATTATTGTAAAATCAAACCTTTTTAGAGGGTTTCTAGCTAGTGACTATGGCATTTTAGCATCCATTTGTCGTTCCATAGGATTCGATAGTTTCACTCATAACGTTTTTAAAGGAGAGATTCTACTTACTCTGTCAAAGAACGTCTGAATTGTTGTTTTTATATTAAAAGATTATGCTGTAACCGCATCTAATAAAAATACATGAAGTATGTACGTTATAAAAAAATTAATATTATTAAAGTAATTTTTTTCCAGAAATATATATATAGTTATAATGGTGAGAACGCTCGTATTAATTGTGGTTATAATTATGTCCTAGGCCTAACTTGAATCGTGAATGGAAACAGATATCGGCGCAATGGTATTCAATGGTAGGTATAATATCTCTCCTTTAAGTAAAATAATGCGGCGGTTTGGACAGTCTACCCTACTTTGAAAGCCTGAAAAACTTGACGTAAGGCAATCTTTTAAAAGTATTTTCATTCCCTTAGAACTTCATTTTTAAAAGTTATATTTTGTTCAATCAATTACAAAAATGATATCTAATGATGATTCTTATAAATGCGTTATCGTAGTTCTAAGTTTTATCATTGAATTCAAATATAAGTTAAGAAAACTAGTCCCATACGTCATATGTTTATAATATAGTGTAAGCGTTGGATTAAGTCTTCTTCGTAAAGTAAGAACAGAACCTGCTCAAAATTTGTGTAAAAAAGAAAAATATAAATGACAATTAAAATTAGTATAGCATATTGTTTTATTTATTCGCATACATTCAAAACATTAATCGCGACATTTGACCGCTAACATTACAAAAACGAATTTATCTCCGAACGTTATTACCAATTAAACGTCCGTACTATTGACACGGCCTAACAAACGCGTTTGGTCACGCATTTGTCAATCGATTTTTATAATAGAACAACAGCGCAGCCGGCGGAAAACCGACAACTATTTAGCGCTGCATAATTATCGAAAAAGTTTTACACATTTTCAAACGCAACACGCTGTTGTACTAGTCAAAATAAATAAAGCGAAATAGCGCATTGGTTCCACTTCGCCGGGTATCTCATTTGCGGTTCTCAGAGGAGTACTGCCTATCTGTCTATATTTCCGAATTTTATGCCTACAGCGTGCGCGCCCCTTGCCTGTCGATGTGTGCGTTTAGTTCCCGGCCGTGATCGCGGCCATTTTACATGGGCCGGTGCGTTGCGACCGTCAGCGACGGGTCTCTATGCGCTGTATGTAGCGAGAGGTGCACTGGATGGGTCAAAATAAAATTGCCGGGGACGTAGTATGAGTTAGAAGTTGAGCCATAGTAAAGGGTAGTTCCACCCCCGTCGCGTCATCGCACTGACTATTGCGCGTGTGTTAGAGAATGAACATTTAAAATGCCCAACCCCCTTGACGATCACTATGCCGCCATTTTGTTTTTATTTTGCAATGATTTTTCTAGTGTTAGCGTGATATTTCACTGTATGCAATACAATGATTTTAATTCTTACATGTTAAATATGAATTGAAGTTACTTTAAGATGATTGTAAAATCATTGTAATGAAATTTGTATTATTGGTACCTATTGTGTGTATTAAATACGACTTCATTAAAATATAAATTGAAATAACCGAGGCTTTCAAAATCAAAGTTGGCAACTTAGTTACATACCTAAAATAATTGTTTGTTATCATTATCATTACATAGTAAAAACAAAGTCATTCCGCTGTCTGTCTGTCCCTATGTATAATTTTTGTTTAAAACTACGCAACGGATATTGATGCGTCCTTTTTTACTAGATAGAGTGATTCAAGAGGAAGGTTTATTGGTATAATACATACATTGTACCCATGCGAAGTCGGGGCGGGTTGCTAGTCTATATTTAATATTATAAATGCGAAAGTAACTCTGTCTGTCTTTCTCGCTTTCACGCCAAAACTACTGAACCGATCTTAATGAAATTTGGTACACATATAGGCTAGAGCCTGAGAAAAGGACATAAGCTATTTTTTTAATTGGAATTTATACACTATTGAACCAAACAGCTTTGTTTGCTCTTTTTACCTAAAGTCCATCAATACGTTGTAAGCATTAAAATATACCGCGACAATCAATCAGTTCACTTTCGCTCATCAAGAAAACCACGCGTTCTCAAAGTATCATACCTAAGTATCATATCACAAATATTATATTATCAGTATCATTTTAACTATATCAATTTTGTAATGAAGTATTATAAGAAATTCTATTATCATTCATATCATAATCGGTGTTAGGAGTTAGCCCCAACAATATTTAAGGGCTTACACGAGAGCTAAAGCTAGTTTACTATAAAGAAAGAAAGACACAGTCAACTAGAAAACTAATATATCTTTGAAACTCTTCTACGGCTACGGCACCCGACTTCTGCTGTTTCGCAAATAGATAGGCTCGTCCGGGGACCACGGCCCAACAGAACCGTCTTCCCATCCGATTATAACGTATGCGTCTTCAAGGCAAGAGTGATTAGGCTTTTACTGAGCTAGCGCCCTTACCATCCACGGCTGCATCGCCACTAACCATCAGGTGGGATAGCAGTCAAGCGCTAGTTCCATATATAAAAAAAAGAAGAGCGGCGCGAAGTGGAAATGAGAAACTTTAGCGTTTCGTATGGTGAGGAAGATAACCGGGGGCTAATTATTTATTAGTTGCTAACGTATCCAACTAACGGCTACCCAAAGGCGTTTTAGATGTCCACAACAAAAAAAAGAAACATTATTTTTGCTTATCTCCATACAACTGAAGAACCCAAAGCTTCTTGAACTTTCTTGCATTCAAGTCAACTTTCAGTCAGAGCTACATTAAAATATCAAACCAATAATTCATAGTAAGGACTACTTCTTACAAGTTTTTGAAAATGCCACGCACCGGATGAAAATGAAAATGGCTAGAGTTGCGTCACAAAATAATATTTAGCGACCCTTAAATTCAAAAGGCTTCTATCTTCTAATCTTCTACTGATTTAACATACTCCATGTTTAACAATTCCTTTTTGTTTCTAAGACATACAGGTTTATTTTAAAATCTATCTTGTCTCAGAATGTATTTACTTTTCAAATTCCCTTGAAACAGAATTATACTTATAATTTCTCTTCTATCCTATTCTGTAGAAACATCGCGACAAAATTATGCGGCAAATTAAAAACTTGTGATTTTAATTCACTTTAATTCTCTGGTTTTATATAGTTCATTCGTTCATAAATTAATTAATAAATTCAATATGATGAGATGAAAATTTTAAAATGGCAGATGACTGTATGATATTTGTGAGTATGGGCCGATCTGAATTAACGAAATTTGACTTTGAACAGTCTACATATTTAATGGAAACTAGTTTGTACAAAATCATTTTATTACTTATTTTGTTTGGATGAAATAAAAAATAAATATAACATAAAATAATCGTTAAAGACGAATTGAAACAGTGAGCTTATTCACTCAAACTCAATCGATAAAGTAACAGAAGTAATACACACCTAGAAACGGCTCACAATCCATAGTAGAACAACGCCGACACAAACTGAACAGACTCTTCAACTAAGAATGAATCCAAGTCAATCTCAATGATTCACCAGTGTTTCCTCACCGACCTATTTATTATCTACGGTTAAAGAGCGATCCGCGCCGAACGGGTACTTAGAGCATAATGCAAATGTCGAGACCTTAGGGCAACGGTCACCGATATTTCTCACATAAATTTTTAATTATTAGCATTAGAAGGAGCCGCGAGACGACAATACGGGGTCATCTCTCAGCGGGGCCGTAGCATCCAACCGGTTTCCGTGGGATTCCGGCGCATCGTGCGCTACGGCGATTATGTTAATCTAACTTAACATCACTATCGTCCATTTCAGTTCATGCTAAATTTAAATAAAAAATTGTAATCAAAGCGGTGCAGTCGGTTAAATGTTTTAATGATTGGATCGCGTTGAATTTTAGTTTTTGTGGCGACAGTTGTGTGTTCAGACAGAAGGTGGCGGATTTACCCTAAAGCTCAGTACGCCCGGGCCTAGACTCCGGGATCTCCTTTTTTTCATGGGAAAACTCCTTTATGGATCCCCTGCCATCGGGGGTACCCACTAAAACCCACGTTGCACCTGTCTCTGTCAAATCGGTCGGGGACACGGGAACACGGAGACGCAATCTTCCGCGACCCCGGCACGACTGTAGCCTGTTTAGGTCTCCTCTTCTCGGGTGCTAGGACGCCCAGTCCGGCTAAATGGTGCTGTGCCGGTACAACTAGCACATCACCCCATATACAGCAGCAGACGCCCACATGCCTGCCTCACTATCAGGAGTGAAAACTTCGCTCTTAGGCCAACCTCCTACACCCTGGTCTCCGGCAACGGATATCCCGGGTAGCAGTTGCCTAATATACAATAATTAGAATACAGTCCACTACAAGAACAAAATCGACAAATACCTTATATTATTTGTATATGTTAAGATAAATAAAATACTATAATTATATACTACATAAGATGATTATTATCCATAAAAGTAGTGCATACTAATATAACAAATATATATAATTATATACTACACAGCACATAAATATTGAAAATGATGGGATAAGTAAGTTGGAGTAAAAGGCAAGTTCAGAAAGGAGTGCAAAGTATTCAGTGCTCCTATTCGTCGTTGACGTATAGGTAGCCACTGAGGTTAAAAAATACATGGTCATACTTACGGAGATTGAAAACGAATCGAATGCAATATTTAGAAGTCAGTCGAGTTCATTGAGGTGATCTGCATTCAGGTCAAAGTAGCACACGTCAACATAGTTAATTAAAGGGAAAATTAAGGCCTGCACGGGCAATTCCTTAGTTTTCGTATTGACGAAATTTTTGACCGTGTATATATAATACTATCGGCCTATTGCCGTCCACTGCTGAACGTAAGCCCCCAAAGTGCACCAACTATCCCGGTCCTGGGCAGCCCACATCCATCCGCTGCGAGCTACCTTTCTCAAGTCGCGAATAAAGAAAAACATTATTACGAGTAAATAAACAGAGTAAACGAGTCCTGAATTTAACGAAGGTAGGACTTTCATAACTTTATTCATTTTATTGTCATTATTAACCGGGTTGTTCATAGAAGATTTAATAAAGATACTGTTCGTATCATTTTTAAACTGTAATATTTTACTAACCCTATTGAACAAACAACCCTGAAGATGGAATTTTAAAAGTTATTTTGTTATAACTTTCTGTAACGTCTTGGTCTTGGTTGCAGAAAATTATAAAAAAGTAACTTTTAACGGCCATAACTAAGGTTGAATTTTAAAACATGTAGAAAAAGTACGAAAAGATTGTCGCCGCTGTGGGAATCGAACCCACGTCTTCGGCATTCGCGGCCTGACGCTCTAGCCACTGAGCTAAACGGCTGATAGCCACAGCGACGAAAATCTTAACGCCTTCTTTCTACATTGTTATTTAGCATTTGAAGCAATGCTTGGCGAATCTATTGTTATATCCTTTCCAGCATACAAACAATTTCGAATATCGTTTTACAACGATAATTCGAACGAGAGATGTCGCCATTGCTTTTTATAAATTTTAAAGTTTTTTATAGTGCTAATCTCTGCATTTTTCAGCATTTTGCTAGAAGCTGTGAATCAAATTGTTCATAACAGCAAGTTGATTGGTTAAATCTCCTCTCTTTTTACATACACGTCTCTTTTATACATACAGGTTAGATATATTTGTTCTTTTTTTTTTCATTATTTGAGAATATAGACTTGCAACAATAACAAGTGGATTATAAGTTAATTCTGGTGAAGATATAATATAATGGCATCCGCGGTGCTGTGGTGGTTTTCGTCATACATATTTCGAAGGACGCAGAAGGTCGTCATTAATAGTTTTGAATTCGTAATCGTCCCTTCCCGAGTTCCGAAGGGATCTTTCTTTTTTAATTTTTTTTAACCGACTTCAAAAAGAAGAAGGTTATCAATTCGGATGTTTATATTTTTTTTATAAATGTTCGGGCATAACTTCGTCATATATTAGTTTATTAGGAAACTTTACAGCATTCAAGAAATGTTTAGCATAAATACAATTAACAAGGAGATTTAGCCATCAAGGATAATATATAGACGGATTTGCAAAATTATTTTTTGTTCGAAAGGGCTTCATTCCTGTCCCATGTAAATTTTATATAGATCTGATGATGATTTTAGGAGATAGCAACGGAACTCTTCAAAATATGACAGTAAATCAACCGCGATTGCTGCTATCGCTTAAATACATTGTTTTGCATGTAACGTTGTAATAGTTACGTACATCATTTTATTAACGGATCGTAAACCATAATGCCGAGTTCACAGGTTTTCCGATCGTGTGACTTATGAATGAGCGTTCTTGATTTTGAATCCGGTCAGGTCATTCTACGATACGGCTCGGGTTGAGCAACACGTTTTAGTACAATATTAGACAACTATTTGGAGTAAGTATTTTACTAGCGGACCGGGCAGACGTCCTGTACACACGACTTAAATCCGATAACAAGTTATAAAAAAATACAAAAAAACGAATTGTGTTAACTTTAATATTAACATGCGCAAACACACAACATAACATCACGTCTGTATATCCAAGAAGGTTAAACAATTAATGTATTCAGTCTAGCTGAAAACGCGAAAACAGCGTATTTACACAATTAATACGCTGTTTTCGCTTTCTCAGCTATCATCTCAGCATTGAAGGCGTCTACTTGTCTGACAGTGGGATAAATTCGAACTGCATCTCCATCGGCAAAATCTCTTATCAACAGTATTCCTTGACGTCCGCATAGCAATTCAAGTTGAGCCGTTGTCAATTCGCCAACGCGATTGGTAATGTTAATCAAAATGTTAATGGGTAATGTTTGTCAAAAACCTATAGCTATACGAGTGCGAATTAACTACTAAAACTAAGACGATTATTGAAGTAAAGTAAAAAAGTAACAACCTATACATGTCCCACATAGTATAGGCATAGTCCACCACGCGACCCCACTGCGGATTGGCGGACTTCACATATCTTCGAATTTTTTTTTGTTATTATTTCGAAAATATGCAGGTTTCATCACGATGTATTCCTTCACCGCGGTGCACGTGCTAAGTCAGCACTTAAAGTTAAAAACTTTATTGGTGCCGGCACCGGGGATCGAACTCAGGTTGCTCGAGTATACTGAATTAAAGGCGCGCGCCCGGACACTGAGCTATCACGGCACGGATTATTGAAGACATAGATATATGGGATCTTTTTTCAACAATCTACTTTTGCGCTGGTCAGGCCTTCAATTTGAAATGCTTACAGATATTCTTTTTTATTTGCTTTAAATCGTTTTCCTTTTTTTAGTCCCGGTTCCTGTGTGCCCTGCCCATTGCCACTTCAGCTTGCAGACCCGCTTGGCTATGTCGGTGACCTTCGTTCTTCTGCGGATCTCCTCATTTCTGATTCGATCTCGCAGAGAAAACCCGAGCATAGCCCTCTCCATTGCCCGCTGAGCAACGCTGAGTCTCTTTAGGAGGCCCATAGTTAAAGTTTATAATAATGTTTAAATCTAATGTAATCAAATCTTCTAAATCTAATCTATACAACCTAGGTAGTTACCTAACCTGTAACAAAATTTTACAATTTTTGGGTCACCATTTACATCTGTAACACCCTTACGGTTGCAGATATGTTACCAATTTTTAATAAAGTGGACCCCGGGTACCTTACTTACTAGAAAGAGATTTTCTAAATACTGTCGAGAAAATAAATTTAATAGTCTCCCCAAATTTATAATAATATATGTAAAGAAAAATATTACTTTCTTTTATTTAAATATTTTCTTTAATTTAAATATTTTCGCGCACCGGCCGTTGATAAAATTTATTTTAAAAACTATGTTTGTACGCCGGATTATAACAGAAAAAGAATTAAGCTGTCATATGAAGCAATTCATGAAAATAATCTGATTACAAAGATATTTAATAAGTAAAATAGTGATTTAGGAATCGACATTGTGATTATTAACATTAAATGTTGTTTCTTTAATTACAGGTAAAGTTTTAATAGTAAAATCTTTTATTTTTGTTATTTTAATTATTATTTGTTATAGTTTCAAAATCTTACAATAAATCTTTAATTACAGAGAAACTCAATTGTGTTTTGATTGCTGTGTAATCCTAAACACTGAAAAATATTCTTATATATATTTACAATAGAGAAACAGTTTCTCGATTTCAAGGACTCCATCGATGCTGTAACCCTTAGAAAGGGCTAACTACCATATAAATCCTGATGTGATGCTAGATTCAAACCCGCACTTTAATATACATATTGATAATATTATGAAAAATGCTTTTAGGTTGTTTGGATATTTACGCATTCTTCCGACGACTGTAAGAGTTCTTCGACTTTCCTTCTCTCCTCTCGACCTTGGTTCACTCTCAATTAGAAATTGCTGTCTCATTTAAGACTACGATTAAAAACACATGGAAAAAAATTATGTTATGCTTTGTGTAAATAGAAAACTCGTTAAATATCACGTAAATGAAATTAAACTGCTTAAACTATATTTTTTCAGGTTATTCTTTCAGTCAATATACCCAGAACCTATTCAACCCTTGTAAACATACTTTCTAGCGTGGCAATTTTTTTTTGGTCTGAATGGTCTTAACATGAAATGAACATAAAGATTACCCACAAAATAAAATGAGATTAAGCATAAAGAACACCCTTAAAAGTTTATTTAATGACTTTGAAATAATCAGTTAACGAAAAAAATAAATAAAACTCTTTTAAAATGCTCATGTATAATTTGTCAGGAAAATATTTCATATGAATCCAACAAAACTAAACAAAAATTATAAATGTATAACTCTGGAGTTTTTAACACGTGGAACATGGTAGCCCGCGGCGACCTAACTTGACAATGAACTGCCTTCGAGTAAGTCGACAGTTTCTGCGATTTCCAAGGCGTCCTGGTCCAAATGTTACACCGCTTGAGGAGCTGGAAATAGTTGGCGAAGATCCGGCCTCGTTAATGATGACGGTGGACTGCTGACCACCGTAGGGCGCTGCATACCCGATGGGTACATATCCAGATAAGAAGTTGCTATTGGAAGAGGCTGGAGATGCAGAGGAAGCTGAAGAAACAGCAGCGGCTGCCGATGCTGCTGGTCCATTGGCGCTGCTACCTTGTCCTCCCAATCCATTGCTGCCGTAGCCGTTTCCAGCTGGCCCGTAAATAGTGATCTCTCGTACTATGCCATTTCCACCTGGACCTGAAGCTGCACCAGCGGCTGCTGAAGCGGCTGCTCCATTGGTACCGCTACCTGATCCTCCCAATCCATTGCTGCCATAGCCGTTTCCACCTGGTCCTGAAGCTGCGCCACTGGCTGCTGATGATGCTGCTGCTCCATTGGCACCGCTACCTAGTCCTCCCAATCCATTGCTGCCATAGCCGTTTCCACCTGGACCTGAAGCTGCACCAGCGGCTGCTGATGCTGCTGCTCCATTGGCTCCGCTACCTAGTCCTCCCAATCCATTTGCTGCCGTAGCCGTTTCCACCTGGACCTGAAGCTGCACCAGCGGCTGCTGACGAAGCGGCTGCCCTATTGGCACCGTTACCTAGTCCTCCCAATCCATTGCTGCCGTAGCCGTTTCCGCTTGCTCCTGAAGCTCCGGCTGCGGCTGCTGATGCTGCTGCATTTGCACCGCTACCTTGTCCTCCTAATCCATTGCTGCCGTAGCCGCTTCCACCTTGTCCGTAAATTGTGATCTCTCGTACTATGCCATTTCCACCTGGACCTGAAGCTGCACCAGCGGCTGCTGATGAAGCGGCTGCCCCATTGGCACCGCTACCTAGTCCTCCCAATCCATTGCTGCCGTAGCCGTTTCCACCTGGACCTGAAGCTGCACCAGCGGCTGCTGATGCTGCTGCTCCATTGGCTCCGCTACCTAGTCCTCCCAATCCATTGCTGCCATAGCCGTTTCCACCTGGACCTGAAGCTGCAGCACTTGCAGCACTAGCGCTGGATCCGTAAGGTGCCAGAGGCCCGTATGAGCCAGGTCCAAAGCCAGAGATGCCATTGGAATAGGCTGTAGATACAGATGACGCTAATGATCCGGAGTCGTATATATTTAAATTGAAGGCCGGTCCTGCAGTACCGCTAGCGGCTGCTGATGCTGCCGCTCCATTGGTTCCGCTACCTAGTCCTCCCAATCCATTGCTGCCGTAGCCGTTTCCACCTGGACCTGAAGCTGCACCAGCGGCTGCTGACGAAGCGGCTGCCCCATTGGCACCGTTACCTAGTCCTCCCAATCCATTGCTGCCGTAGCCGTTTCCGCTTGCTCCTGAAGCCCGCCTGCGGCTGCTGATGCTGCCCCATCTGCACCGCTACCTAGTCCTCCCAATCCATTGCTGCCGTAGCCGCTTCCACCTTGTCCGTAAAATTGTTTCGTACTATGCCATTTCCACCTGGACCTGAAGCTCCCAGCGGCTGCTGATGAAGCTGCTGCCCCATTGGCACCGCTACTAGTCCTCCCAATCCATTGCTGCCGTAGCCGTTTCCACCTGGCCCTGAAGCTCCGTACTATGCCTGCTGATGCTGCTGAAGCTTGGCAGCGGCGCTACTTTGTCGGCTCCTAATCCATTGCACCGTAGCCGTTTCCACCTGGCCCAATCCATTGATCTCTCGTACTATGCCGTTTCCACCTGGACCTGAAGCTGCACCAGCGGCTGCTGATGAAGCGGCTGCCCCATTGGCACCGTTACCTAGTCCTCCCAATCCATTGCTGCCGTAGCCGTTTCCACCTGGACCTGAAGCTGCACCAGCGGCTGCTGATGAAGCGGCTGCCCCATTGGCACCATTACCTAGTCCTCCCAATCCATTGCTGCCATAGCCGTTTCCACCTGGTCCTGAAGCTGCGCCACTTGCTGCTGATGACTATGCTGCCTCCATTGGCCTGAACCGCTACCTAGCGGCTCCTCCCAATCCATTGCTGCCGTAGCCTGCTCCATTGGCTCCGCTACCTTGTGATCCCAATCCTCGCTGCCATAGCCGTTTCCACCTGGACCTGAAGCTCCCGAAGCGGCTGCTGATGCTGCTGCTCCATTGGCACCGCTACCTAGTCCTCCCAATCCATTGCTGCCATAGCCGTTTCCACCTGGACCTCTCGTACTATGCCATTTCCACCTGGACCTGAAGCTGCACCAGCGGCTGCTGATGAAGCGGCTGCTCCATTGGCAACCCAATCCATTGCTGCCATAGCCGTTTCCGCTTGCTCCTGAAGCTGCGCCACGGCTGCTGATGATGCTGCTGCTCCATTGGCACCGCTACCTAGTCCTCCCAATCCATTGCTGCCGTAGCCGTTACCACCTGGCCCGTATATTGTGATCTCTCGGACTAGGCCATTTCCACCTGGTCCTGAAGCTGCACCAGCGGCTGCTGATGAAGCGGCTGCTCCATTGGCTCCGCTACCTAGTCCTCCCAATCCATTGCTGCCATAGCCGTTTCCACCTGGACCTGAAGCTCCGGCTGCGGCTGCTGATGCTGCTGCATTTGCACCGCTACCTAATCCTCCCAATCCATTGCTGCCGTAGCCGTTTCCACCTGGCCCGTAAATTGTGAACTCTCGTACTATGCCATTTCCACCTGGACCTGAAGCTGCACCAGCGGCTGCTGATGAAGCGGCTGCCCCATTGGCACCGCTACCTAGTCCTCCCAATCCATTGCTGCCGTAGCCGTTTCCGCTTGCTCCTGAAGCTGCACCAGCGGCTGCTAATGAAGCGGCTGCTCCATTGGCTCCGCTACCTAGTCCTCCCAATCCATTGCTGCCATAGCCGTTTCCGCTTGCTCCTGAAGCTGCGCCACTGGCTGCTGATGATGCTGCTGCTCCATTGGCACCGCTACCTAGTCCTCCCAATCCATTGCTGCCGTAGCCGTTTCCACCTGGCCCGTAAATTGTGATCTCTCGTACTATGCTGTTTCCACCTGGTCCTGAAGCTGCGCCAGCGGCTGCTGATGCGGCTGCCCCATTGGCACCGTTACCTAGTCCTCCCAATCCATTGCTGCCATAGCCGTTTCACACCTGGACCTGAAGCTGCACCAGCGGCTGCTGATGAAGCTGCTGCTCCATTGGCTCCGCTACCTAGTCCTCCCAATCCATTGCTGCCATAGCCATTTCCACCTGGACCTGAAGCTGCAGCACTTGCAGCACTAGCGCTGGATCCGTAAGGTGCCAGAGGCCCGTATGAGTCCTCCCAGGTCCAAAGCCAGAGATGCCATTGGAATAGGCTGTAGATACAGATGACGCTAATGATCCGGAGTCGTATATATTTAAATTGAAGGCCGGTCCTGCAGTACCGCTAGCGGCTGCTGATGAAGCGGCTGCCCCATTGGCTCCGCTACCTAGTCCTCCCAATCCATTGCTGCCGTAGCCGTTTCCACCTGGACCTGAAGCTGCACCAGCGGCTGCTGACGAAGCGGCTGCCCCATTGGCACCGTTACCTAGTCCTCCCAATCCATTGCTGCCGTAGCCGTTTCCGCTTGCTCCTGAAGCTGCACCAGCGGCTGCTGATGAAGCGGCTGCTCTGCTCCATTGGCTCCGCTACCTAGTCCTCCCAATCCATTGCTGCCATAGCCGTTTCCACCTGGACCTGAAGCTCCGGCTGCGGCTGCTGATGCTGCTGCATTGGCACCGCTACTTTGTCCTCCTAATCCATTGCTACCGTAGCCGTTTCCACCTGGCCCGTAAATTGTGATCTCTCGTACTATGCCGTTTCCACCTGGTCCTGAAGCTGCACCAGCGGCTGCTGACGAAGCGGCTGCCCCATTGGCACCATTACCTAGTCCTCCCAATCCATTGCTGCCATAGCCGTTTCCACCTGGACCTGAAGCTGCACCAGCGGCTGCTGATGAAGCGGCTGCCCCATTGGCACCATTACCTAGTCCTCCCAATCCATTGCTGCCATAGCCGTTTCCACCTGGTCCTGAAGCTGCGCCACTGGCTGCTGATGATGCTGCTGCTCCATTGGCACCGCTACCTAGTCCTCCCAATCCATTGCTGCCGTAGCCGTTACCACCTGGCCCGTATATTGTGATCTCTCGTACTATGCCATTTCCACCTGGTCCTGAAGCTGCACCAGCGGCTGCTGATGATGCTGCTGCTCCATTGGCTCCGCTACCTAGTCCTCCCAATCCATTGCTGCCATAGCCGTTTCCACCTGGACCTGAAGCTGCACCAGCGGCTGCTGATGCTGCTGCTCCATTTGCACCGTTACCTAGTCCTCCTACTCCATTGCTGCCGTAGCCGCTTCCACCTTGCCCGTAAATTGTGATCTCTCGTACTATGCCGTTTCCACCTGGACCTGAAGCTGCACCAGCGGCTGCTGACGAAGCGGCTGCCCCATTGGCACCGCTACCTAGTCCTCCCAATCCATTGCTGCCGTAGCCGTTTCCGCTTGCTCCTGAAGCTGCACCAGCGGCTGCTGATGAAGCGGCTGCTCCATTGGCTCCGCTACCTAGTCCTCCCAATCCATTGCTGCCATAGCCGTTTCCGCTTGCTCCTGAAGCTGCGCCACTGGCTGCTGATGATGCTGCTGCTCCTCCATTTGCACCGCTACCTAGTCCTCCCAATCCATTGCTGCCGTAGCCGTTACCACCTGGCCCGTATATTGTGATCTCTCGTACTATGCCATTTCCACCTGGTCCTGAAGCTGCACCAGCGGCTGCTGATGCGGCTGCCCCATTGGCACCGTTACCTAGTCCTCCCAATCCATTGCTGCCATAGCCGTTTCCACCTGGACCTGAAGCTGCACCAGCGGCTGCTGATGCTGCTGCTCCATTGGCTCCGCTACCTAGTCCTCCCAATCCATTGCTGCCATAGCCATTTCCACCTGGACCTGAAGCTGCAGCACTTGCAGCACTAGCGCTGGATCCGTAAGGTGCCAGAGGCCCGTATGAGCCAGGTCCAAAGCCAGAGATGCCATTGGAATAGGCTGTAGATACAGATGACGCTAATGCCGGAGTCGTATATATTTAAATTGAAGGCCGGTCCTGCAGTACCGCTAGCGGCTGCTGATGCTGCCGCTCCATTGGTTCCGCTACCTAGTCCTCCCAATCCATTGCTGCCGTAGCCGTTTCCACCTGGACCTGAAGCTGCACCAGCGGCTGCTGACGAAGCGGCTGCCCCATTGGCACCGTTACCCTAGTCCTCCCAATCCATTGCTGCCGTAGCCGTTTCCGCTTGCTCCTGAAGCTGCACCGGCGGCTGCTGATGAAGCGGCTGCTCCATTGGCTCCGCTACCTAGTCCTCCCAATCCATTGCTGCCATAGCCGTTTCCGCTTGCTCCTGAAGCTGCGCCACTGGCTGCTGATGATGCTGCTGCTCCATTGGCTCCGCTACCTAGTCCTCCCAATCCATTGCTGCCATAGCCGTTTCCGCTTGCTCCTGAAGCTGCGCCACTGGCTGCTGATGATGCTGCTGCTCCATTGGCACCGCTACCTAGTCCTCCCAATCCATTGCTGCCGTAGCCGTTTCCGCTTGCTCGAAGCTGCGCCACTATGCTGCTGATGCTGATGATGCTGCTGCTCCATTGGCACCGCTACCTAGTCCTCCCAATCCATTGCTGCCGTAGCCGTTTCCGCTTGCTCCTGAAGCTGCGCCACTGGCTGCTGATGATGCTGCTGCTCCATTGGCACCGCTACCTAGTCCTCCCAATCCATTGCTGCCGTAGCCGTTTCCCACCTGGCCCGTAAATTGTGATGCTCTCTTCGCACTATGCTGTCCTAATCCACTGCCGTGGTCCCTGAAGCTGCACCCAGCTGCGCCAGCGGCTGCTGATGCGGCTGCCCCATTGGCACCGTTACCTAGTCCTCCCAATCCATTGCTGCCATAGCCGTTTCCACCTGGACCTGAAGCTGCACCAGCGGCTGCTGATGATGCTGCTGCTCCATTGGCTCCGCTACCTAGTCCTCCCAATCCATTGCTGCCGTAGCCATTTCCACCTGGACCTGAAGCTGCAGCACTTGCAGCACTAGCGCTGGATCCGTAAGGTGCCAGAGGCCCGTATGAGCCACCTGGTCCAAAGCCAGAGATGCCATTGGAATAGGCTGTAGATACAGATGACGCTAATGATCCGGAGTCGTATATATTTAAATTGAAGGCCGGTCCTGCAGTACCGCTAGCGGCTGCTGATGCTGCCGCTCCATTGGTTCCGCTACCTAGTCCTCCCAATCCATTGCTGCCGTAGCCGTTTCCACCTGGACCTGAAGCTGCACCAGCGGCTCCTGACGAAGCGGCTGCCCCATTGGCACCGTTACCTAGTCCTCCCAATCCATTGCTGCCGTAGCCGTTTCCGCTTGCTCCTGAAGCTGCACCAGCGGCTGCTGATGAAGCGGCTGCTCCATTGGCTCCGTTACCTAGTCCTCCCAATCCATTGCTGCCATAGCCGTTTCCGCCTGGTCCTGAAGCTGCACCAGCGGCTGCTGATGATGCTGCTGCTCCATTGGCACCGCTACCTAGTCCTCCCAATCCATTGCTGCCGTAGCCGTTTCCACCTGGCCCGTAAATTGTGATCTCTCGTACTATGCCATTTCCACCTGGTCCTGAAGCTGAGCCAGCGGCTGCTGATGCGGCTGCCCCATTGGCTCCGCTACCTAGTCCTCCCAATCCATTGCTGCCATAGCCGTTTCCACCTGGACCTGAAGCTGCACCAGCGGCTGCTGATGCTGCTGCTCCATTGGCACCGCTACCTAGTCCTCCCAATCCATTGCTGCCGTAGCCGTTTCCACCTGGACCTGAAGCTCGTACTATGCCATTTCCACCTGGTCCTGAACCTGCACCAGCGGCTGCTGATGCGGCTGCCCCATTGGCACCGTTACCTAGTCCTCCCAATCCATTGCTGCCATAACCGTTTCCGCTTGCACCTGAAGCTCCGGCTGCGGCTGCTGATGCTGCTGCATTTGCACCGCTACCTTGTCCTCCTAATCCATTGCTGCCGTAGCCGCTTCCACCTTGTCCGTAAATTGTGATCTCTCGTACTATGCCATTTCCACCTGGACCTGAAGCTGCACCAGCGGCTGCTGATGAAGCGGCTGCCCCATTGGCACCGCTACCTAGTCCTCCCAATCCATTGCTGCCGTAGCCGTTTCCACCTGGACCTGAAGCTCCGGCTGCGGCTGCTGATGCTGCTGCATTGGCTCCGCTACCTAGTCCTCCCAATCCATTGGTGTTGTAGCCATTTACGCTTGCACCTGAAGCTCCAGCTGCGGCTGCTGATGTGGCTGCTCCATTGGCACCGTTACCTAGTCCTCCCAATCCATTGGTGCCGTAGCCATTTCCACCTGAACCTGACGCAGACGCAGCAGCTGCTGATGAAGCGGCTGCGCATTGGATCCGTACCTAGTCCTGCCAATCCATTGCCAGGCCGTAGCCGTTTCCCTGACATTGAAGCTGCACCAGCGGCTGCTGAGATACAGCTGACCCATTAATGCTACCTAGTCCTCCCAATCCATTGCTGCCATTGCCGTTTTCCACCTGGACCTGAAGTACTGCACCAGCGGCTGCTGATGCTGCTGCTCCATTGGCCCGCTACCTAGTCCTCCCAATCCATTGCTGCCGTAGCCGTTTCCACCTGGACCTGAAGCTGCACCAGCGGCTGCTGACGAAGCGGCTGCCCCATTGGCACCGTTACCTAGTCCTCCCAATCCATTGCTGCCGTAGCCGTTTCCGCTTGCTCCTGAAGCTCCGGCTGCGGCTGCTGATGCTGCTGCTCCATTGGCACCGCTACCTAGTCCTCCCAATCCATTGCTGCCGTAGCCGCTTCCACCTTGTCCGTAAATTGTGATCTCTCGTACTATGCCATTTCCACCTGGACCTGAAGCTGCACCAGCGGCTGCTGATGAAGCGGCTGCCCCATTGGCACCGCTACCTAGTCCTCCCAATCCATTGCTGCCGTAGCCGTTTCCACCTGGACCTGAAGCTGCACCAGCGGCTGCTGATGAAGCGGCTGCTCCATTGGCTCCGCTACCTAGTCCTCCCAATCCATTGCTGCCATAGCCGTTTCCACCTGGACCTGAAGCTGCACACCTGAAGCTGCACCAGCGGCTGCTGATGAAGCGGCTGCTCCATTGGCACCGCTACCTAGTCCTCCCAATCCATTGCTGCCGTAGCCGTTTCCACCTGGACCTGAAGCTGCAGCACTTGCAGCACTAGCGCTGGATCCGTAAGGTGCCAGAGGCCCGTATGAGCCAGGTCCAAAGCCAGAGATGCCATTGGAATAGGCTGTAGATACAGATGACGCTAATGATCCGGAGTCGTATATATTTAAATTGAAGGCCGGTCCTGCAGTACCGCTAGCGGCTGCTGATGCTGCTGCTCCATTGGCTCCGCTACCTAGTCCTCCCAATCCATTGCTGCCATAGCCGTTTCCACCTGGACCTGAAGCTGCACCAGCGGCTGCTGACGAAGCGGCTGCCCCATTGGCACCGTTACCTAGTCCTCCCAATCCATTGCTGCCGTAGCCGTTTCCGCTTGCTCCTGAAGCTCCGGCTGCGGCTGCTGATGCTGCTGCATTTGCACCGCTACCTTGTCCTCCTAATCCATTGCTGCCGTAGCCGCTTCCACCTTGTCCGTAAATTGTGATCTCTCGTACTATGCCATTTCCACCTGGACCTGAAGCTGCACCAGCGGCTGCTGATGAAGCGGCTGCCCATTGGCACCGCTACCTAGTCCTCCCAATCCATTGCTGCCATAGCCGTTTCCACCTGGACCTGAAGCTGCACCAGCGGCTGCTGATGAAGCTGCTGCTCCATTGGCTCCGCTACCTAGTCCTCCCAATCCATTGCTGCCATAGCCGTTTCCACCTGGACCTGAAGCTGCACCAGCGGCTGCTGATGCTGCTGCTCCATTGGCACCGCTACCTAGTCCTCCCAATCCATTGCTGCCGTAGCCGCTTCCACCTTGCCCGTAAATTGTGATCTCTCGTACTATGCCGTTTCCACCTGGACCTGAAGCTGCACCTGCGGCTGCTGATGAAGCGGCTGCTCCATTGGCTCCGCTACCTAGTCCTCCCAATCCATTGCTGCCGTAGCCGTTTCCACCTGGACCTGAAGCTGCACCAGCGGCTGCTGACGAAGCGGCTGCCCCATTGGCACCGTTACCTAGTCCTCCCAATCCATTGCTGCCGTAGCCGTTTCCGCTTGCTCCTGAAGCTCCGGCTGCGGCTGCTGATGCTGCTGCATTTGCACCGCTACCTTGTCCTCCTAATCCATTGCTGCCGTAGCCGCTTCCCCACCTTGTCCGTAAATTGTGATCTCTCGTACTATGCCATTTCCACCTGGACCTGAAGCTGCACCAGCGGCTGCTGATGAAGCGGCTGCCCCATTGGCACCGCTACCTAGTCCTCCCAATCCATTGCTGCCGTAGCCGTTTCCACCTGGACCTGAAGCTGCACCAGCGGCTGCTGATGAAGCGGCTGCTCCATTGGCTCCGCTACCTAGTCCGCCCAATCCATTGCTGCCATAGCCGTTTCCACCTGGACCTGAAGCTGCAGCACTTGTCCGTAAATTGTGATCTCTCGTACTATGCCATTTCCACCTGGACCTGAAGCTGCACCAGCGGCTGCTGATGAAGCTGCTGCTCCATTGGCTCCGCTACCTAGTCCTCCCAATCCATTGCTGCCATAGCCGTTTCCACCTGGACCTGAAGCTGCACCAGCGGCTGCTGATGAAGCGGCTGCTCCATTGGCTCCGCTACCTAGTCCTCCCAATCCATTGCTGCCATAGCCGTTTCCACCTGGACCTGAAGCTGCACCAGCGGCTGCTGATGCTGCTGCTCCATTGGCTCCGCTACCTAGTCCTCCCAATCCATTGCTGCCGTAGCCGTTTCCACCTGGACCTGAAGCTGCACCTGCGGCTGCTGATGAAGCGGCTGCTCCATTGGCTCCGCTACCTAGTCCTCCCAATCCATTGCTGCCGTAGCCGTTCCACCTGGACCTGAAGCTGCACCAGCGGCTGCTGATGAAGCGGCTGCTCCATTGGCACCGTTACCTAGTCCTCCCAATCCATTGCTGCCGTAGCCGTTTGTCCACCTGGACCTGAAGCTGCACTGCAGCGGCTGCTGATGAAGCGGCTGCTCCATTGGCTCCGCTACCTAGTCCTCCCAATCCATTGCTGCCATAGCCGTTTCCACCTGGACCTGAAGCTGCACCAGCGGCTGCTGATGCTGCTGCTCCATTGGCACCGCTACCTAGTCCTCCCAATCCATTGCTGCCGTAGCCGTTTCCGTAAATTTGATCTCCACCTCCTGTACTATGCCATTTCCACCTGGACCTGAAGCTGCACCAGCGGCTGCTGATGAAGCGGCTGCTCCATTGGCTCCGCTACCTAGTCCTCCCAATCCATTGCTGCCGTAGCCGTTTCCACCTGGACCTGAAGCTGCAGCACTTGCAGCTGACGAAGCGCTGCCCCATTGGCATACCTAGTCCTCCCAATCCATTGCTGCCGTAGCCGTTTCCGCTTGCTCCTGAAGCTCCGGCTGCGGCTGCTGATGCTGCTGCATTGCACCGCTACCTTGTCCTCCTAATCCATTGCTGCCGTAGCCGCTTCCACCTTGTCCGTAAATTGTGATCTCTCGTACTATGAATTTCCACCTGGACCTGAAGTGCACCAGCGGCTGCTGATGAAGCGGCTGCCCCATTGGCACCGCTACCTAGTCCTCCCAATCCATTGCTGCCGTAGCCGTTTCCACCTGGACCTGAAGCTGCACCAGCGGCTGCTGATGAAGCGGCTGCCCATTGGCTCCGCTACCTAGTCCTCCCAATCCATTGCTGCCATAGCCGTTTCCACCTGGACCTGAAGCTGCACCAGCGGCTGCTGATGCTGCTGCTCCATTGGCTCCGCTACCTAGTCCTCCCAATCCATTGCTGCCGTAGCCGTTTCCACCTGGACCTGAAGCTGCACCAGCGGCTGCTGACGAAGCGGCTGCCCCATTGGCACCGTTACCTAGTCCTCCCAATCCATTGCTGCCGTAGCCGTTTCCGCTTGCTCCTGAAGCTCCGGCTGCGGCTGCTGATGCTGCTGCATTTGCACCGCTACCTTGTCCTCCTAATCCATTGCTGCCGTAGCCGCTTCCACCTTGTCCGTAAATTGTGATCTCTCGTACTATGCCATTTCCACCTGGACCTGAAGCTGCACCAGCGGCTGCTGATGAAGCGGCTGCTCCATTGGCTCCGCTACCTAGTCCTCCCAATCCATTGCTGCCATAGCCGTTTCCACCTGGACCTGAAGCTGCACCAGCGGCTGCTGATGATGAAGCGGCTGCTCCATTGGCTCCGCTACCTAGTCCTCCCAATCCATTGCTGCCATAGCCGTTTCCACCTGGACCTGAAGCTGCACCAGCGGCTGCTGATGAAGCGGCTGCTCCATTGGCTCCGCTACCTAGTCCTCCCAATCCATTGCTGCCGTAGCCGTTTCCACCTGGACCTGAAGCTGCACCAGCGGCTGCTGACGAAGCGGCTGCCCATTGGCACCGTTACCTAGTCCTCCCAATCCATTGCTGCCGTAGCCGTTTCCACCTTGACCTGAAGCTGCACCTGCGGCTGCTGATGCTGCTGCTATTTGGCACCGCTACCTAGTCCTCCCAATCCATTGCTGCCGTAGCCGTTTCCACCTGGACCTGAAGCTGCACCAGCGGCTGCTGAAGCGGCTGCCCCATTGGCACCGCTACCTGCTCCTCCCCCTCCATTGCTGCCGTACTATGCCGTTTCCACCTGGACCTGAAGCTGCACCAGCGGCTGCTGATGAAGCGGCTGCTCCATTGGCTCCGCTACCTAGTCCTCCCAATCCATTGCTGCCATAGCCGTTTCCACCTGGACCTGAAGCTGCACCAGCGGCTGCTGATGCTGCTGCTCCATTGGCTCCGCTACCTAGTCCTCCCAATCCATTGCTGCCGTAGCCGTTTCCACCTGGACCTGAAGCTGCACCAGCGGCTGCTGACGAAGCGGCTGCCCCATTGGCACCGCTACCTAGTCCTCCCAATCCATTGCTGCCGTAGCCGTTTCCACCTTGCTCCTGAAGCTCCGGCTGCGGCTGCTGATGCTGCTGCAGCATTTGCACCGCACCTAGCTTGCCTAATCCATTGCTGCCGATAGCGGCTGCCCCTTCCACCTTGTCCGTAAATTGTGATCTCTCCCAATACTAGCCATTTCCACCTGGACCTGAAGCTGCACCAGCGGCTGCTGATGAAGCGGCTGCTCCATTGGCTCCGCTACCTAGTCCTCCCAATCCATTGCTGCCATAGCCGTTTCCACCTGACCTGAAGCTGCACCAGCGGCTGCTGATGCTGCTGCTCCATTGGCTCCGCTACCTAGTCCTCCCAATCCATTGCTGCCATAGCCGTTTCCACCTGGACCTGAAGCTGCACCAGCGGCTGCTGATGCTGCTGCTCCATTGGCACCGCTACCTAGTCCTCCCAATCCATTGCTGCCATAGCCGTTTCCACCTGGACCTGAAGCTGCACCAGCGGCTGCTGATGCTGCTGCTCCATTGGCCCGCTACCTAGTCCTCCCAATCCATTGCTGCCGTAGCCGTTTCCACCTGGACCTGAAGCTGCAGCACTTGCATGAAGCGGCTGCCCCATTGGCACCGCTACCTAGTCCTCCCAATCCATTGCTGCCGTAGCCGTTTCCACCTGGACCTGAAGCTGCACCAGCAGATGCTATTGGAATAGCCGTAGATACAGATGACGCTAATGATGGAGTCCTGAAGCGGTCCTGCACCGCTAGCGGCTGCTGAGGCTGCTGCTCCATTGGCCGCTACCTAGTCCTCCCAATCCATTGCTGCCGTAGCCGTTTCCACCTGGACCTGAAGCTGCACCAGCGGCTGCTGATGCTGCTGCTCCATTGGCTCCGCTACCTAGTCCTCCCAATCCATTGCTGCCGTAGCCGTTTCCACCTGGACCTGAAGCTGCACCAGCGGCTGTTGATGAAGCGGCTGCTCCATTGGCACCGTTACCTAGTCCTCCCAATCCATTGGTGCCGTAGCCATTTCCACCTGAACCTGAAGCTGCACCAGCGGCTGCTGATGAAGCGGCTGCCCCATTGGCACCGTTACCTAGTCCTCCCAATCCATTGCTGCCGTAGCCGTTTCCACCTGGACCTGAAGCTGCACCAGCGGCTGCTGATGAAGCGGCTGCCCCATTGGCACCGTTACCTAGTCCTCCCAATCCATTGCTGCCGTAGCCGTTTCCACCTGCTCCTGAAGCTCCGCCTGCGGCTGCTGATGCTGCTGCTGCATTTGCACCGCTACCTTGTCCTCCCAATCCATTGCTGCCGTAGCCGTAGTCGCTCCACCTTGGCACCGTAAATTGTGATCTGCTCGTAGCCGTTTCCACCTGGACCTGAAGCTGCACCAGCGGCTGCTGATGCTGCTGCTCCATTGGCTCCGCTACCTAGTCCTCCCAATCCATTGCTGCCATAGCCGTTTCCACCTGGACCTGAAGCTGCACCAGCGGCTGCTGATGCTGCTGCTCCAGTGGCACCGCTACCTAGTCCTCCCAATCCATTGCTGCCGTAGCCGTTTCCACCTGGACCTGAAGCTGCACCAGCGGCTGCTGATGAAGCGGCTGCTCCATTGGCACCGCTACCTAGTCCTCCCAATCCATTGCTGCCGTAGCCGTTTCTACCTGGACCTGAAGCTGCAGCACTTGCAGCACTAGCGCTGGATCCGTAAGGTGCCAGAGGCCCGTATGAGCCAGGTCCAAAGCCAGAGATGCCATTGGAATAGGCTGTAGATACAGATGACGCTAATGATCCGGAGTCGTATATATTTAAATTGAAGGCCGGTCCTGCAGTACCGCTAGCGGCTGCTGATGCTGCTGCTCCATTGGTTCCGCTACCTAGTCCTCCCAATCCATTGCTGCCGTAGCCATTTCCACCTGGACCTGAAGCGGCACCAGCGGTTGCTGATGAGGCTGCTCCATTAGCACCGCTGCCTAGTCCTCCCAATCCATTGCTGCCGTAGCCGATTCCACTTTGACCTAAAGCTGAGGCAGTGGCTGCAGATGCTGCTGCTTGATTTGCACCGCTACCTTGTCCTCCCGATGAGGAAGCAGATTTCGAAGGCAATATAGTTTCCATAAAATCATATTCAGATATCGTTTCAGTGCCGTTATCACCCAACTCAATTACGAAAGTCTTAGTCAATCTTTCACCCGGTTTATTTCGTAAGTGTCCAGATTTTCCAATGTACTTCTTCTTTGTTATTGTTTGTTCGACCAGTGTACCATTTTTATTAATTATTTCATCGGATTTTGTTTCAGTCGTTTCCTTAAAATTTTGATTGCCCGATATCAATTCATTTATGTCTTGATCCAATCCTGCTTGATCAACTGCAGCCGCATACTGTACATGACAATAGTATGCATTAATATTAAAGATGTTATGTCAGTTGCTAATCCAAAATCAACCGAAATCATTTGGGTCCCAATGTGGACTAGGTCAAGCCTTTACTTATTATAATGCCAAGCCAAACTGCCGAGACAATAACGAAACATGTGATTTACGGCCGATTTCTAAAATCTATCTACAGCTAGACTTGATTTTGGCACATACGGGGAGGGTTTTTTTTATTTAATCCATTATTTTTAATTAAATTCTATACATAAATAATGTTAGATAAAAAATTATAAATATTTAGCTAGTAATTAATTAATTACATTCATTTTTACTTATCTCAAAAAGTGCGTGATTTATGGGCAACTCATTTATTTTATGCTCGATCATTCATAACTACTACGCACATAACTTCGTTTCAAAAGTATACGACGCATTTATAAATGACTACCGCATTGTCAACAAGTTCTGTTTTTAGGGAATAGAATGGCAATATTTAAAGAAAAAGTTTGTTTTTATTTCAATAAACGATTATACTACCGAGTCCGAACCTCCTGTGTGAATCTGGGCGCCTTTAGAAAAGCCACCCTGTATAGGTGCAAAAATCACTAATCCGATAGATGGAATACACATTGGTGTACGCTTGTGGCGTAACTCGAACCTTAACTCTAAATCGCAATTATGACTTTCATTGTGACCAGTAAGAGTTAAATACTATCGAGTTACTCAATAACTCCACAACTCAAATGACATTTGAGAAGCCCTTTGACAGCCGATTAGTTAATTTCTACGAGGATCGGTGTTTCAGAAACCGGGCGTAAGACTTAAGTCTTTATGTTTAAACATAAAAACTTTATGTTTGTCTTTATGTTTAAACATAAAAACTTTATGTTTGTCTTTATGTTTAAACATAAAAACTTGATGAGATGAACATAAAAAACGATAATTAAATGAATTTCTTGAAAAAGATTATATGTATAGACCACTTAGATCAAAGTAAAATCAAAGATAAAACAACTCACCTGCAATGCGCAGAACAAGATCACAAAGGTTGTGACTCTCATTTTGCTGAGAGTTGGAACCGAACTGATACTTTGGCTCGATTGTCAACCCTTTTTATATCGATGGAACATAAGATCTGACGTACGATAAGTGTTATGTGAATTCGACAATTAAAATTGTTCAAATATTGACAATAACTCGAACAAAAGTTGAAATTATCTCGTCTTTGTTCAGAATAATATTAAAGGTAACCAACGATTTAGAACAAAAATACTCATTTTCGCCTGATTAAACCATTGTAGCTTAGTAAACATAAGAAATAATAAACAGTACATGTATGCATAAACATATGTTATTCCAATAAATATATTTAAAACTAAGTGTACTATCTATCGGATGGAAGATCGATACGCTAATAAAAATTGCTTCTCGACTCGACTGGGTCGATGAGGACTTTATGCGGTACTTTACTGTAGCAGGACCACGAAGCTGCTTCTGCTATTATATATATACAGCACGAATGGGCAGACTCGTCCGGGGCCTCACGGCCTCACAAAAGACCGGCGTGAACTGGAAGTATTAGTTACACTATCGTGTTTCATCTAGTGAGTGAGGTGATCGGGACCCACTACTAATTACTACTAGGTTGTCAACGCATCAGCTAGCCATCGGGTATTGTAGATGTCCATGGGCGGCGGTATTAATTTAGCATCAGGTAAATCAGGTGTTATAAATTTTCACATAAAAAAAGAAAAAAAAATCCGCACGGGAAACGTCATCCGCATTTTTTGTCGCGTTTTGTTTGGTAATTTGCTCCATTAACGCCACCAGAGGATTGTGGTGAATATCGGCTAACTAGAAGAATTGTTTTGTTAATGTTCTATTGAAATAAATTTATTATCATTAATTGACATTTCTCTCAACTGATGGCATCGGTACATTTAACTGTGGTAGGACCAAGCAACAGTCTTCGCTGTTGCACGAATGGGCAGGTCCGTCGTGAAGATCGGCGTAAAGTAGAAGTGTTATACTCCTGCGTTTCGTTGGGTGAGTGAGGTAGCCGGGGCCCACGTTATTTATAATAGGTGGCAACGCATTTGCAACAGATTTTGGATTCCTCACTAGGACTTAGTTCATTTTGAGGAAATATCTTATTTACAAGCTTCTAGTGTCGTCAAATGTCATAACAAACAAATTTAATAATATTCAAGGTAAAGGTAAGTAACTGAATATGAGATCGAAATAATATACTGTACATTTCATCTTTTCTGCTGCTCCTACATTCTTGCGACTGCGCATAACAGAGATCGAAATAATATATTTCAATCACAGATACTATTCATGAAATAAAAGACTATTATTTTTTTTTTATTTAGAACTGGCCAGCACTTGACTGCCATCCCACCACCACATGATGGTAAGTGGCGATGCAGCCTTTGATGGTAAGCGCGACTATTATTGCTAAATGAATACATGAACAAGCAATAATTTATATGTACATAATTATTTGTTACAGTTTTGATACATTGATGCTAGAAGATACAGAATTCATAAAATTAAAAACAGTACGCCATGTTGAAATTATTAATTACTAGCTTTTCGCCCGCGGCTTCGCTCGCGTTGAAGCCCTTAAATAAATATCTTTTTTTTTGTAATAAAAAGAATCTGACATCTATTTTAATAACTCTAAGAATATGTCCACACATACTTTCATATTTATAATATTAATTAGGGATTAGGGATTAAAACTCGACTCATTTTTGACTTCGACATATTTCGCGGGCATTTTACATCTGACAGATTTTTTAAAGATAACATTTTTATGGTTCAAATTTACTCTGCGCTAAAATCCGTTACAAGCCAAATCCATTGGCTTCTTGTATCTTGTATTAACTTATGTTTTTACTTTCAGTCCCGAGACTATTAAAGCTTCATCTGACGCAAAACCGGTGGGCTAGCCAGAACTCACGGGTTTGGGCCCTCCGCTGAGTAGGGCCGCGCATATGCTCATGCTCCATTGGCTAAATCTCATTCAATGCAATGGGAGATGTGAATGATTTACTTACGGATTGTGAATGACACAAATCAACAATTATTAAATTGAATTCCTGTATAGAAAAATACAGGTAGGGTTTCGTAGTGGTGCGTGATATTGGTTCACTGAGCTTATTTGTTCCCAGATGTAACGGTTAATGCGGCAGACCGTTGCCGTATCTGTATGTTACTAATTGTATTACCTAGTTTGAAGATAGATTAGCGTAAGATATTGCAGAAAACCATATAAGGTAGGGACAGTTGACGAGGTAGTGACATCAATTCTCGCACAGGACTAGCAATTCTGGACACTCTAACTAATATTACTTCTTTCCCTCGTAGCCTTAGGTATCGAGTGGGTGCGATAAGCGATTAATTTTTATCCATGGCGACATCTGTTAATGACAGTACAACTTAGGTGAAGGAATCTATAGAATGTCTGTAACTTATTTAGATTTCGTATTTTCTACGGGTAGATGGCGTTACGATAGTCGGTTGTTGCTTCCCTTCGTCTTTGCTTCTGATTGGATTAACTTTAAATGTAGGAACATAGTTTGATTCTGTTTGTTTCTTATTAAATATAAGTTATTTTTATTCACAACAATTGATTAGACCGTTAACCTTCCGTGACTTGTTTAGCATAGGTCTATATTGAGTGTCATCTGACGTTTCGACTACGAGAATGCAGCAGATGGGTGTTATTTCTGATTGTAGTCGGTTTGACGACAAAGGAGGAAAGAAGGAGCATATAGAAAAGATGTATGTGCCATCCTTACATATACTACTTTGATATGGCTTCTGGGCATTTACATTATACATGGAAAGCCAACGAAAGCAAGCACGTCGTTGGTAAAAGTTTCCTTTGCCGAGTGTATTTTTAGGTTCTGACAGTTTTCTGTGCAATACTCAATAAATTTTATTGATTCAGCAGGAGCAAACCCCAATAACAAACTCTTACTTGAGGAGCTAAGTAAGGACATTAGTCCTTACTAATATATGTATAATATCATCGGTAAGGTCACAGATAATTTGTTTCGTGATTGTCCACGTGAAATTAATTATTAAAAATCGTGCTTTAAGGATTATGTTAATCTCCTCTAAGGGTAATGGTTAAAAAAAAGTCGCAAGTGTCAGAAAATTTCAAGAATATCCGTAATTAGTGTAAATACGAAAACAACGGTCACAAATGAGGTAAGCCATTGTTTCTCTCACTTGAGTCAACAGTTTAATTACAGGTATAGAGATGTATTCATTCTCGCTGATACGGGTCATCAAATAAGCAGGGACAATAGATTAATTTATATGCCACAATATAGCTTTAACGAGCCACGCTGAAAAATATTTACCCGGTAAACACGTCATTGGTACATAGTACATAAAGTAGGAAAATTCAAATAGCGGCTTTCAATTGGTTTTCATCCTCGCGCGCTTAAGTTTCCGTACTATCGATAAACATAACATCATTAAGAAGCTTAGTAATTATCGACTACAAGAGTTCGTTATAACTTTGACTATGACTAATGCCCGGTTTCTATATTCATCTAACGGCCGTTAGTTACATAGATTCGTAACTTTTATAACAAATCGTAGATAAAAGGCGTTAACGTCCGGTTCCTATATTAACAAAACAAGGCGTTTCCCTTAGAAGCCGTTGCATTACTTACGGAAAGTGAGTTACTAGCATTCCTTTAATCTACAAGTCGTTATAGAAGTTACGAAGCCATGTAACTAACGGCCGTTCATTGAATATAGAAACCGGGTACAAATCTATTTGAATTATTTTACGAAATCGCTTGCGTTTATCTGAAATCCTTTCTGTAAAAGGTACCGCGGAGGAGAGAAATATTGGAAAAATCCAGGGATCCGAGATCTCCAGTGGAATGCACCAGAGCCCCCTATACTGACCCATCATGTAGGTCATCTAGGGACCAAAAGGTGCCCCTCCGACCGGGTTCCCGCCTTGCCGTGGCGGAGGGGCTTAGTAGCCGTGGCTTGGTCACCCACGGCGAAACACTGGGCCGGCCTGTGGGGTAAGGAAGCCTGAGAGGGCCGCTCCAAGTGGGCTGATTGAGCCCACTCTGGATGCGTGCTGGAGGATGCAGGAGACAGGTCGAGGGTGGTAGAGGAGGAACCATTCTCCCTGTCTTTTGCTACCGAGGAGGAGTCGCGGGGGAAGAGGACTGTCGGTATTGCGGTCGCGCGTAACATGGGTAAATAGCATTTAGATTTAGCGGTTGACGCACACGCCCAAGAATTTTATTTTTCGTCTGATCAAAGCCCTGAATTGATGAGGAGAGTAGTGTGATGACTAGTACCTAGGGCCTCCGAATTATTTTTTAGCTTTTAGTACATTGTCTACATCATTTGGCGGTAATCACCATCAGGTGAGCCTCCTGCTCGTTTGCCCCTTTTCTCCATAAAAAAAATAATCTTTATTTAAAATTAAACCATTTAACTTTTTTTACTCATTTTTCATTTTCAAGATTTTAGTTTTTAATTATGGTACATACTTCTCATTGTTTTTAATTCATTCAGTGTCTCATTATTACAAGGTTTTTCCCTGACAATTTTTTACAATCAACTCCTCAATATATAATCCTTGCAAAGACTTAACTCGACTCAGGGTCACGTAAGCTTTTCCTTCCTCAAACAATTTCGAACCCAAATAGACAACTAAATAACTCTATTGTGCTAATCAAGCCCTTTCATTTGATACCCATATTGAAGAAGTGGTGATAAAATATGTAATCCGCCATTTTGTAACGGCGGCCATCTTGGATATCCATTTTTTTCATTGTTCAACGTATTCTACTAGTCAAGACCTTTTATTTGATACCCATATTGAAAAAGTTGTTTGAAGAAAAATGAACCTGCCAAAGTTTTGTTGCCTTTGATTTAAAATGATACCAAATGTGTTAAATTGGTTGTCATCAGAACTAAAGTTGTGTATCAAATTTCAGATCAATCCGTCAACAGTGGTTTAACGGTGGTAGAGCCACGCAGCAGCCTCGGCTGTTGCACGAATGGG